ATTCCTGAGCAAGCATGGCTTGCTCAGGAATTCTGGGAGTTGAAGTCCATAATTCATAAAAGGGCCATAGTTGCCCACCCCTGGTCTAACCTAAGCTAAGTATCAGTGTGCTATGATGATACAAACTGCCTCTTAAGAACACAGGCATAGAAGATAGGAGAATTTGCCAAATGTTCTGAAAGCGTTTCTGAAAGTAACAAGTATTAAGACAGAAACATTTTTAAGTCGAAAGACTGTCTAGTCCAGCATCATTTTCTCCATGGTCGCTAATAGCAGATTATCTGTGAATTTAGTAGTTTTGTAAGGCAAATCAGCAAGAAATCAGTATTCACTTTTGTAACTATAGTCACAATTTGTAGCAATGAATTTTGTCAGCCAGTTTTGCCCTACACAAAGAAGTGTTTTCTATCACCTCTGGCATTTAATTTCAGAGTATTGTCTGCATTTATCTTACTACCAGCAAGGAAGAAAAGCTCTACTTACGACTTGCCCCCTTCTCTCCTTTGTGGTTTTGTCACTGTTTGTTTGTTTTTTTCTGAACTGTAGTATCCAAAACACTTTATCAGAACTGCTAACTGATCAGTTGGACAACTTATTTCTGCAATTTCCTCTGCTAGGATGCCTATGTTAAGCTAATATGGCTAGAGTTGTTAACTATTCCGGTCTATTCAACTATAGACTGATACTGGCTGCTTGATTTTCAGGTAAAATAACTAACTGCCCCCTTACATTAACTATCCCTATTTCATAGGCATGATAGGCCAATGAGGCACTTTGTTCAGCCTTAAAATCTTTTCTCAGTCTTTACCATCAGTTCAGATTCCATTAATGAATGCAATGCTTTCGACTTGCTTACTTTGAAGTACAATTGTCATTTTCTGGTCCAACAAAAGAGATGTTATAAGGCATTGTCCTCTAAGCTTTTTTAAAGGGGAATTTAATAAATTTTTATTGATCTGAAGTCCTGCATGAAGCAATTTGCCCACTTATTTACAAATAATATGAAAAAAAAAATTCTATCAAAGATTCCTAGCAGGATTGCCTGCTTAATTATTATATTAATTATTATATTATTATACTTAATTATTATATGGAATAATATTAGGATTTTTGATTGTTTAACAGTCTTGAAGATACAGCTACTTTGAATATGGACAATATGTCTTTTCTTCACCACCTTATACTTACTACCAGGATAATATTACTTTAATATCAAGACAATATGGAAGCAAGAGAAGGACTTTGTGGTTAAATTTCTTGGGCCAGGTGCAGGGTTTGGGGTTGGGACGTGTAATATTGGTTTGGCTCCTTTTTCCAAGACTGGTGTTAATAGGGAGCAAGAGGTTTACCCATAGCCACTCCCTTGGTAGTGCCACAGGGATGAGGTATGATCAGCATGTATATGGTATTCAGCTTTACATTTCTATCCCTGGTGCTCCAAGTGATGCTATAGCTGCCCTTGGTGTCTGAAGGCCATAGGGGCCTGGAGGGAGGACAACACTGAAGGCGGAATGGCTGTGGGGACCTCAGGATCTAGTTATTTATCATTTTTAGTTCTGTATGTCATTATACTACTCCAGACAGACCTGGTCCTCAACCTGGGAGTTCTCCTAGAATCGCAACTCATGCTCGAAGAACAGGTGACCATCGTGACTTTGTGTTATGCGTCAGTTGCCCCCTTTCTCCGGATCATGAGGTGCCACGCACACTCATCTATGTCCTAGTCGTCTCTCAGTTGGATTACTGCAATGCTCTCTACATGGGGCTACCGTTGAGGAGTATTTAGGAGCTATACCTGATGCAGAAGGCAGGGACACGCAGGGCCCGTAGAATGGCATGTATAACACCGCTGTTGCACTACCTGCATTCGTTACCAGTTTTCTTCCAGGTCCAGTTCAAGGTGCTGGTTATTACCAAAGCCCTATATGGCACGGATCCAGGGTATCTAAGGAGCCGTCTCAGCCCAGTGTGACTAGCCCACCCCACCTGTGTCAGTGGAAGAGGCCTGCTGCGGACTCCGTCTGCTAAGGAATTCCAGCAGGTGGGGTAAAGAAGAGCTTTTTTCCACTGTCATCCTAATCCTGTGGAGTTGCAGGTAATCCTCAACTGACAACAATTCATTTAGTGACCATTCAAAGTTATGATGACATTGAAAAAAAGTGACATGACCATTTTTCACAGTTCCGACCTTTGGAGCATCCTCATGATCATGTGACCAAAATTCATCTGATTCATATTCACGATCGTTGCTGCATCCCAAGGTCATGTAATTCCCTTTTGCGACCCTCTGACAAGCAAAGTCAATGGGGAAGACAAATTTGCTAAACAACCGGATTGCTAACCAATCAACTGCAGTGACTCACTGAACGACTGTGGCAAGAAAGGTCATAAAGTGGGGCAAAACTCAAATGTCTCACTTAACAAATTTTGGGCTCAATTGTGGTCGTAAGTCGAGGCCTACCTGTACTTTACCACTGAAGGTGAAAACTCCCAACCTTTTGACCTTCCAGAAGGGCATTAAAACTTGATTTTGCCAGTTGGCTGGGAGCCCTAACGGGGGTGCTTCCACTGGATGTGGTTGACCTGGTAAGAAGACCTCAACCCACGTCATCCACCTCCTTGGTTCCATTTTTTGGCAGAGTTTTAAATTTTTAATTACTTTTCTATGTCTCTTTATGTTCTATATACCAGCCAGAGTTGCCCTATTCAGGGAGATGGCATATAACTTTAATAAATAATAAACTTAAAAAGTCAGATATAGGAAATAGTCACAATTGTGCGGATACTGTGGCTTTCAACTTTACCCCTAACCAGATGCTTTTGGATTCTCCATGGAATTATATTCGCAGCAACAGAGACAGCGTTTCATGGCAAAAGTCGCCTCTGAAACAAAAGAGTTCTTAAACATGCATGGTTCCCAAACTTGGCTGTTGCCCTGACTACAAGTTGAAGCAAGTAGTTGTGAAAAGGATGTGTGTGTATGTGAGTGTACAAGTACCCATAGATGAGAGGGAGTCGGAGGCTTCTCTGCCAGAAATTATGTCGTGTGCAGAAAATACGTCTATCTCTTGATTCGAAATTTAGACTTGTTTTTAAAATTAGCTTCAAGAATCCAGATAAACTTTTTTCTTTTGCATAGAACCTTCAGAGTTAGATATAGGTGGTCCTCGTCTTGCAACACAATTTGGAATCAGAATTTCCACCGCCAAATGTTAAGTGAGTCATGTCCGATTTTATGGCCTCTTTTTGCCATGGTTAAGCAAATCGCTGCAGTTGTTAAGGGAATCACAGCTGTCATTAAGGGAATCCAGCTTCCTCCCATTGACTGTTGGAAGCTGCCTGGGAAGGTCGCCTGCAAGTAGCAATCACATGACTTGGCATGTTGCAACCATCATAAATACATGCCAGTTGCCAAGTGTCCAAATTTTGATCGTGGGGATGCTTTATTATAAGTGTGGGGACCGGTCATAAGTCACTTTTTTCCGTGCTATTGCAGCTTTGAATGGTTCCTAAATGAATGGTTGAAAATTGAGGACTATCTTTATTGTTGAATAACTTTACAATGCAACTTTAATACTCAACTGCCTACATAGGAATTGAAATTGCTATTAAAAGATCCAAGTACCTCGGGTTAATTCAGTTCAAACTCAGTTAAATAGCAGCCGCTGTGGAGGATTTGGGGAAAGTAATTTCCCAACTTGATTACCTTATGTTCTTCATACATTGTGAAACCTGCTTTCTTGCTAATTACATCAATATATTAAGGCAAATGAGCAGGGCTGGTTTTTTTTTTTTCAACTAATGACCTTCTAGCCTACTGGAAATTACTCTGCAGTATCTTTCAGTGTTTATCACTGATGTTCAAGCTGGTTATTTTAATTTTACACTCTGTCTTTTCCTGTGTAGCTTCTATTATACAATTAAATTGTGTGCCATATTTTTCAGCATTGCTGGCTTAATTTAAATTTGCAAATAAATGAAACCATATTTTTAATAATGTATTAATCAGATTGTTTTGTTTTGCATTTGCATGTTTATTATTTTTGGCCAAGCTTGGAAATGAGCAGTTAAGAGAATGCTGAACAGATGCTAAACCTGTTTCATTTTTTACCTAGATATTTAAAGAGCAAGTGTCCATTAGCTAAGTCAGAAAACTGGCTAACTCATAGTTGTTCATGAGTCTACACGCCATTGTGGCTGAATTATCTATATATTAGAAATAGGAAGAATTAATGGAATGATTAACACTCCAAGTACTTTGCATTTCAGAGACACAGTATATCAATGGACAGTTCACAATAACATAATGTTATTCTAGTAAAAGTTTAGAATATTTTATGTAACAAATCTTTTCTTACAATAGCCCTGAAATGATGGAATACAAGAGTATTCTTCATTTTCTTTGTTAGGGCAGTATTTCATAACCAGTTTTTACACAGTTGTAGCTGTCAGCAAGTTTCATATCAAATTTAAGTAGCCGTTAAAAGATGCAAAAATTTATCCTGAAAC